AGCAACACAAAAGCAATGAGAAGAAAACTGAGCAAACTCAGGGAGGCAGTGAAGGACAGGAAGGCCTGGTGCAATATGGTTCATGGGTTCACAAAGAGTCAGACACGACTTAACGACTGAACAACAACAACAACAACAACAAAAAATGGTATACATCAGATCAAAAACTATGCATTTCACAAATGGAACAAACTTCTGTACTATGGCTTATTTCACATACTGAGGTCAAAACCAAATAAGAGTAGAATTTATAAAAACAGAAAAGTGTCACAAATGCTATTCTGTGCTTCACAAGACAAAATGGCAATAATCATGCACCAGCAACAAGATATACAGGGTAAAAGCCCCAAATTATCTAACCTATGGAGCTTAGATATGTAAATATCATTCTGAGGCTTCCCTCAAAACTATTCAATTGAAATTTCTAAGGGCTCTATTTGATTTCCATATTCGTAAGTGATTAAAGATACCTGAATATCTTTGATCCCAAAAAATCACTATTAAACTCTACACAGAATACAAATATCAGGAATGTTTGGTGTACCTCAATGTGTGCCCAATTCTCTGTTGGAACTGGAAGCCAGTTTCACCCCTATAGAGATCTGTATATGGTGTAGTCTCTAACTACTGGCTAAAATTAATTTACTTTGGGAGCCCTTTAGCTTCTATGATTCTTCAAGACAGTTTCACACCCACCCAGTCTAATGGAGTAACTGAAATTTCAGAGTTTTGAGGCTTATCATCTCAATACTTGACACCAAACTGGGCTCAACAAACTCAATCAGAGGCAAAACAATGAGTATCTGACATTGATCTTCAGAAAGATTTCTGCTCTAATCCAAATGTATATAGTTGCAATTTTGTCACTAGACCTTTTCTAGGAGCTTCCTATCTTTCTGATATCCTTTGCCCACCACATTTAATAACTGCCCGGAGTTAATGTATGACATTCAGCACTTCTAGAGGGCTGATTTAACAGCATACCTTTACATGAATGTCTCTGTCCCTGTCCAATGAAGGAAATTGAATGCACTGCCCACATTCTCCTATTCTGCAACTTTTATTCACAACAGCACAAAGATCTAATCTTCCCTCTCCTGCCAGCTCACCAAATGAATTTATAAGATAATAACCACCAATTCCATCTCCAACAGTTTATGGTGGGAATGCAGACTTTGAACATACTGCAATGGCAACTGCACAGACTTGTGGTGATTTGGTCATATAAAGAATGAATGAGATCTGAATAGCACAACAAATGTATTAAGAAATAATGAATAGACTTGGAGGAAGGGTAAGAACAACAAAGTTATGGTTTATGGGAATTGATGTGATCCTCAAAAAGAGAAATGTAACATTAAAGAACAAAAGACAATATATGAACATGGTGGAAACAAGGATGGCAGAAAGGTATGGAAAGGTATAGTGCATGATATTGATGTTCACTAGATTTAGTTGTATTTCATTTCCTTTTCTCCTATTTTCTGCCCTTAATTTCATTTGTTTCTATTTCTTTTCTGTGTTCTATGGATCACTGTTCAGCCTGAAAGGGAATAGTGTAGTCGGTACACACACACACACACACACACACGCATATTAATCTAACTTCTTTCAATCAATTTAACATTAAAATAATTTTGATATAGCTGAAATTAAACACAACTTACATCATCATCATCATCTTCAATGGCTTCTCCTGTAAAATACAATACTGATCGTGGAACTATGCGCTCCCGTAGAAAATGGCCAATTTCAAAATCAGCTGCAAGGATTGCTTCAGCATCATCATCCTGCGTAAGTAAATGAATATATAATGCCATTATCTGTATTTACTAAATGCAAATATACCATTTCATTCATCAACCTTTTTAGTGTCAACATTTTCTACTACCCTAGACACTTGATTGAATAATTAACTTTTTACCAAAAATTATTTATTGGCCTCCAAAGAAATGTTGAATTCTTAAGTTCACAAAATATTTATTATCAAATTTGAATGCATTAATCTACAAAATTGTTTTAATTAAAGTTTGTATTATCAATAAATAACAATAAAACCTTACTCAAAATATTACAAATGCTATTGATAGCTAACATGAAGTTTACAGCAAAAAGGAAATGCCAGCTTATAAAAATAAGTTTTCAAATTGTATATAAAAGTGATTAGAGTGATCAGAAAACCATATATAAATAGAGAGAGGGTTTCACAGCATTAGAGCCATCACAGAGAACACCTTGGTCATAGCTGATTCCAGTCAGGTCTCGTTCCCGGCAGGACCCTCAGTTGATGAGATATATATAAATTAATTCACACTAAAAAACTGCAATATTGCTTGAATTCATATATAATGATTTTATAGATGTATGGCTACAATACTTGTTTCCTTAAGTTATACTTTCATATTATCTTTTGGACTCTCTCACACATTTATTTACAGGTTTTACAGTGGGGCAAAAAAGTATTTAGTCAGCCACCAATTGTGCAAGTTCTCCCACTTAAAAAGATAGGGTGAGATCTTGCGTGGAGCCCCAGATCGAGGGATCATTTTGCCCCCACAGGGTGAGATCTTGCGTGGAGCCCCAGATCGAGGGATCATTTTGCCCCCACAGGGTGAGATCTTGCGTGGAGCCCCAGATCGAGGGATCATTTTGCCCCCACAGGGTGAGATCTTGCGTGGAGCCCCAGATCGAGGGATCATTTTGCCCCCACAGGGTGAGATCTTGCGTGGAGCCCCAGATCGAGGGATCATTTTGCCCCCACAGGGTGAGATCTTGCGTGGAGCCCCAGATCGAGGGATCATTTTGCCCCCACAGGGTGAGATCTTGCGTGGAGCCCCAGATCGAGGGATCATTTTGCCCCCACAGGGTGAGATCTTGCGTGGAGCCCCAGATCGAGGGATCATTTTGCCCCCACAGGGTGAGATCTTGCGTGGAGCCCCAGATCGAGGGATCATTTTGCCCCCACAGGGTGAGATCTTGCGTGGAGCCCCAGATCGAGGGATCATTTTGCCCCCACAGGGTGAGATCTTGCGTGGAGCCCCAGATCGAGGGATCATTTTGCCCCCACAGGGTGAGATCTTGCGTGGAGCCCCAGATCGAGGGATCATTTTGCCCCCACAGGGTGAGATCTTGCGTGGAGCCCCAGATCGAGGGATCATTTTGCCCCCACAGGGTGAGATCTTGCGTGGAGCCCCAGATCGAGGGATCATTTTGCCCCCACAGGGTGAGATCTTGCGTGGAGCCCCAGATCGAGGTCTTTTTAAGTGGGAGAACTTGCACAATTGGTGGCTGACTAAATACTTTTTTGCCCCACTTTAACTCATAAGTGGACAACTTAATCATTTATATGACTTCTGCACTGGTTGCTTTCATATATACAGTATGGGCCCAGCTCTCTACGTGTGCTTACATATGTGGCAAGCAATATTACATTTACTGCCTAGGAGCACTATGAATTAAGAGGAATATTTTCATGAAGGAATGGGCAAAGACTGCATGGATCCTTCACATGAACAATCTAGTCTACTTTTAGGAATTTTTGCAATATTTATGAAGTTGTGATCATTTAATATTGTTGTATTATTGATATATGTACTAACAAAGGGATACATTTATTACAGTGAAAATTTTTAAAAATTAGGTTTTCATTCACAAAGAAAATAAATGTGAAACTTACCAAGTCTCCACTTTCAGGAACTGTAATAAAAAAAGGGGTAACATTATATATTTTTAAAAGCCGCATTATTACTTAACTGCAGTAACAACCTGAAGCACCCATCTTTTGTTTCCATGTAACAAGGAGGCAACAGATGGCCCAAACCATTGTTTAAATGTCATTATATAAAATATAATGCAAGTTAATTGGCTAAAGGCAGACAAAATAGAGGCACTGCTAGTTGATGAATGTTAAAATACAGAGTAGTCTGAACGGGGCTGCACTCCTATTTAAAAATCAAGTGCAGACAATCTTTAATTCAACTTTTTTCCTGAATGTCAGTGGAAATCCATTTCGTGGGGATATCGCTTCCTTGTTATGCTGTCTTTCAGTAAGTTTCTCTGAACAGATTATGGTTCTTGTGATCATCTGAAAAATCTTAAAACGATTTGGAACCAAATGCTTGAAATCCTGCCTTCTCACCTAAGCAGTTCCACCTTTTACAGTTATCCTTGAAAGTCTTGTCCATGTTGCTTTGCTTTCAGGTTAGTTTAAGCACAAGTCAAAGACTTCTCAAGTATGGCACTGCAGGCTATGGAATACTTATTTCCAGGAAAGCTCAGATGGCTCCTTTTTCAGCACCACAGCCAATGACAAAAACATTTTTTGCTTTACCATTCAGTATTTTTTTACTGTTTAACTGGATGCTACTCCAGTCTTTCCCTTTGTTTCCATTTGTGACATTATTGGAATTTTAATGTATGTTCTTTTTATATATAACATAATAAAGTTAAGTTTACCTTCAGGAGGACTGAAAAAGTTGAAGAAGGAATCATTGGAAACTGTTTTTGTCACAGTTCTAACTGTTCCACGCCCCTTGTGCTTTTGTTTTTTTTTTATAGTTTTCAAAGTAACATTCTTCCCCTTTTTCCAGTCTATTTGGCACCTATGGGAAAACTGTTATGAAACCAAATGTATGCCTGTATGTTCACCTTAGCTATTATAATCCTGGCACATAATAACACACAACAAATCACACAACTAGAATGGAACCTGAATACAAGAGTAATTCAACTATATGAACAACAAGGATAATTTAGGCTTCTCTGAACATAATTCTCTAATACTAAGGACTGAACAATCCAGTATATATTATTTTTCTCTGAGCACACCATAAAAATAGGCTCTCTCCCTTTGGAAATTATACATACATACTAAGCAATTCAGAATTTTGCAATCTGCCATACAATTCAGATGAAAAGTACAGGTAAGAGTTGTTTTATGCCTTTCCCACTTATTACTGCAAAATGAAAAAAAAATTAAAAATCCATCATCCCAGTATAGAATAGATCTTTGAATCCCCAACTAAACTATGGCATTCAGGCAATCAGGTATTATAATGCAACATGTGCTTAGTCATGAGGCTGGCAAGTGGTGCTGGAAAGATCAGCACCTAAGCCTACTTAAACAGTTGCCTTGGATGTACTGCACTAAACTCTATCCACCCCCACGCAGCACTACAAAATATAAACGCTGTAGCCCAGCATACATAATGGAGAGCTAGGTAAGGAAAGGTTGGCCTAGGCACTTATCAATTAATAAACAATCATGATCATGAAGTCAGAATGGATGCTGCCAGAAAACATCTCCTATTATTGTTATAAATTTCAGTCCTCTAATTCAAATGCTGGGAAAAAAATAAATAAATTCAAAGCAAACAAATGTTCTAGATTCAACAGTAACCTGAAAGCAAGATTAGTACTCTGGGCATGTTAATTACATAAGAATTCGGTGTGCAAGGTCGTAACACAAAAGATGTAAGTGTCCTATTTATATAAGGCTTTAACTTTATTTCCAACATTGGGAATGCTAGGCACAGAATTAACCAATTTATTTTTCTTTAGAGTAAAAAGCCTATTCATGTGCCCATTTAAAGATAACTTACTGTACTGAGGTATATTCACTTTATGACATTAATGTGTATTCACACATACTCATGTCTGCTTCAGCAATAGTCCTATTTTGATGACTCTCACTAAGAACTGCTGTTTGCCCTAGACATTAAATGACTTCTACTCTTAATTATTGAAGACTCTTGGTCTTATAAACCTTAGTTATGATCTATCTGCTGATGTAGGTATTTATTTACTTGCCTCAATTTTTTTAAAAGATTTTTTTATCCTACCTTTATTTTTTTAAAAAATAACTCAAGGCGGTGAACATACCTAATACTCCTTCCTCCTCCTATTTTCCCTACAACCACCACCCTGTGAGGTGAGTTAGACTGAGAGTGACTGACTGGGCCAAAGTCACCCAGCCAGCTTTTGTGCCTAGGGTCGGACTAGAACTCACAGTCTCCTCCTTAAGCACTAGGCCAAACTGGTTCTCACTAGACCAAACTGGCTGACCAAACAAAATGTATACTCTTATGAAGCAACACCTGCTTAAGTTTCAGATAATTCTGGTGCTCTTTTAGCAGATACATCTTTTTAACACTGCTTACAGCTTTGGGTTTGATACCCTGGCTTATCTTGATGTCAGCTGTATTTGCTTAGTGTCTTGGTTTTTCTTTTTGCTTAGTGTTATCAGCTCCTTGTGGTACACCTCTTGCTTCTATATAAAATAGCAACCTTTGATCTCTGAGGTTTAGCCTATATCCTTTTCCTCTACTTTTGGGACAATTCTGATTTGGATTTAATGAACTATACATTTTGTTTTGAATTGCCCTTGTCATTGGCAATTCACAGGCCTAACACTTAAAGTGCACAGGCCTTGTGATGAATGCCCTCATGTTCTTGTGATGATACAAAGATTTATATACATCTTCTTGCATTTTTGTAATCAATGAAACTTGTTTAAACTATGGTATGACAGTGTCTTGTTAATGTATCATCATCCAGCAAACATTTGAACACTCACACATATTTCCTGAACCATGGTTTCTGGCCAAGATAAGAGTTGATGGGCAATCAATAGAAACACAGGTAAATTAATTTCTACATTATAATATTTAGCTTTTTTTCGCTTCTATATCCCAACTGTTTATTTTCATGATCTTATTGCCTACATACTTTCATGTGATACCTGCACATAGAGGAAAAAAAAACCAAGTGATTTCTGTAGGCAATCTTTCCTGTGCCTGACCTGTCCATACACCCACCCACACACACAACCCTGAAGAGCGGAGAGATTGCAAAGGAAGGGAATACAAGAGAATAAGCAGGCACACAATGGGGAATAGACCAGGTTGTTTGCATAGCGTGCTTGCAGCTGTCAGTGCCGGTGCATTGCTTTCAATGTGTATTCTCTATTGTGTGCTTGCTTACTCTCTTGTAATCCCTTCCTCTCCATTCTCTTTGCTCTGCAAGGGGACCGGGGGAAGAAAAGCAACAGGTCAGGCACAGGACGTGTACTGACTATAAAGGCGATCACGTGACTGAGGAACAGCACCATCGTAACTTTAAACAGTCACTGAATGAGGCAGTTGGTATGCAAGGACTACCTGTATTTAATTGGTTTAAAGGTAGTCCTTGGCTTATGACAGCAGTTGGGACCAGAATTGCTGTCGTTAAGCTACACAGTCATAAAGAGCAATGTCACATGACTGTGTCGCATAGTGATGGCAATTACAGCAGGCTTGGCTGTCGTTAAGCGAGGACCTCACATGACCACAACTTCCTGCTGACCTCCCCATTGGCTTTGCTTGTGGGAAGCCAGCAGGGAACATTGGGAATCACAATCACGTGATTGCAGCTCGCTGGAATGTCATAATAGCAAGCTGAACATTGAGCACCCGGACTGCGTTCATATGACTGCAAGGATGCTGCAATGACTGGAACTACGAGGACCTAAGTATCATTTGTTCAGCACCATTGTAGCTTTGAATAGTCCCTGAATGAATAGTCATGATCCAAGGACTACCTGTATTTAGTTAAACACTTTATATAACTACACATCTTAGTTCTCCATCACTTATTGTACAAAATTACACTTACCCTGTGCAACCCATAATTTCTGGTCCATCGAAGGAGAAAGGATCAGAATCATCAGGTTCTGACCTCATTCTGTATGTTTTTGTTACTACTTCATTTGTGAAATATTCATTAGGTTCAAAGTGGAATTCTAAAGTAAAAGTCTTTGAAAAAGTCAGAGTAAGTATGCATTATTAATCTGAACTACAAAGCAAAAATCCAAGATGTTCTCTATTAACTTTATTGCTTTATCCAAGTGTTCAATGGTTCTGTCTTTGAAATCATTGGTCCTCAACACTGTTGAACTGTAACTTCCATCAATCCCAGCAAATATAACCAAGAGCCATGGATGAAGGGAGGTTGACAACTTTTCTATTATTTTGTACAGTATTCTGTATTTCTTCCAGGAGCACAAAGTCCATCCCCCTCCATTTAATCTTCCCAATAATCCAGAACAGCTGAGTATCATGGCTGAATGGAGATTCTGAATCTCAGCACTAGTTCTCCCCTCTGTGTTACCTCAAAAGAAATATCACTATTTCACATGCTATTAATTTCTTCATTTTTAGAGAACTTGCTCTGAAGAATCCCCTATGGTATAACTTCAACAAAACTCTCACCACCATACACTACCTGTCTGTGCTTAACTAGGCAGTGAATTTATAAAGAAATTCTTTGAAATCTTCTTTTTCAGACATCCATATGGGCTGAAGATTAAAAAGTTTCAGCAATTTGGGAACCCTGATTAAGAACAGTCTTTTGCTTTAAGCTAATATAATGCTAATGATAGTTAATGGGCTGCATAAAAGACACAGCCATTTCTGATCACGTAACATTTTAATTTAGATGTTAGTCCAAAAGATGTTTTTACTGTTATGAAATATCATATTGCTACATAGCATCTTCAGTTTTTAATTTTGCTATCAAGTCACACAGATCACATAATAAAGTTTATAGCTACTACATGTCTGAAATAGTTTAACTGCAAAATTTGCAAGAGTTAATCCTAAATAAAGTTCACCACATCCTTCTGAGCCAGCTGTGTGGGCTGAGGATTGGGGGCACCATTCTATTGTGGTTCTCTTCCTTTCTCCAGACCAGTTCCAGTCGGTGCTAGTTGGGAGGGAGAGATCACTCCCTCAGCCCTTCCTTCTGGGATGCCACAGGGTTCTACTCTCTCCCCCCTCTTTTTCAGCATCAGCATGAAACCGCTGGGTCAAGTCATTCACCATTTTGGGTCTGGTATCATCACTCTGCTGATGATATCCAATTATCTCTCTCAACCTCAGGCCAGCCAAGTGAGATTGTCAAGGTTCTGTCCCAGTGCCTGGAGACTATGTGTGTTTGGATGGGGAGGACCATCTCCAACTCAATCCTACCAAGACCAAGCAGCTGTGGGTGTCTGGGCCACCCAGATCTGGGGATATTCTATTTCTGACCTTGGATCGGGTTGCACTTCCCCATTCAAAAGTGCTATGCAATCTGGGGGGTCTTCCTGGATTCACAGCTCCTGCTCAATGAGCAGGTGACAGTTGTGGCCAGGAAGGCCTTTGTACAGCTTCATCTGGTATGCCTGTTGCATCCTTTTCTAGATCAGAAGGCCCTTCCAACAGTGACTCACATGCTCTATATTGGGCTGCTCTTGAAGACCACCTGAAGTTTCAACTGGTGTAGAATGCAGTGGTGTAGGCAACAACTGGCAAGCCTCGATATGCCCATGTAACATCTTTGCTCTGAAAGCTGCACTGAACTCTTTGCTTCTGGGTGTGATTCAAGGCGCTATTCATTACCTATAAGGTAATTCCTTCATGGAATAGAGCTGGGTTATTTGAGGGACTGTCTGTCTCCCTTAGTATCTGCCCACCCTATTTGATTTAGCAGGGTGGGCACACTCTGGATTCCTTCAATTAAACTACTATCTATTGGGACCCAGAAGCACACATTCTCTGTAGCAGCACCTGCCCTCTGGAATAAGGTTCCCCCCGAAAACCAAATGACCCCCACCCTGCTGGTGTTTTGAAGGGCCATGAAGACCTGGCTTTTCACCCACACTTTAGGCAAGGATTAAGGAAGCCCCCTTGCATGGTGTGGGTTTGCTTCTCTTTCAGTCCTGGCTGGTTCTTGTCATCCTTGCCATCTTTTATTCTTGTCTCTCTTCTCTCTGTATTTTTTTCTTGTTTTTAATGTTTTTACTTGTGAGTTGCCCAGAGTCGTTGGGAGTCAGATGGCATACAAATGTAATTAATAATAACAATCTACATACAAGACCTATTTTAGTTGCCTTATTATTATTTCTAACAATACAAGCTTACCATGGGTTCTCCAGCTTCTGAAAACTTCACTTTAATATCTTTTAAGTGTTTCAGGATAGGTTCATCATGTTCCTATAAAGTAAAACCGCAATATATAAGGCAAAGTTTTCTAGACTTTAAATGCAACTACATAATAGGAAATCACAAGGTAACACAAAAGAGGGAAACTAACAGCAACAGAATATATTTAACATCAAATACTTATATTTTATTGTTAGTTTCACAGGTGATACTAATGCTTGCAGCATATTTACCATGGAAATATTTATTCCCATAGAACATCAACAAGACTTGTGTGGAAATAAAGAAATTACCATATGCTTAGTGCTATATTTCTACCAAACATGAGACCAGGAATCTGAAGCATTCCCGAAAGTGGATTATTGATGCAACATTGCACAAAATAAAACTACAGCCCAGAAGAAATATCTTAATGACATCCATTCTACTTAGTTCTAAAAAGTTTAGCTCTAGTTCTAAAACCTTAGTTTATCAGCAACATTTCAAATAATTAAAAGTTTATTCTTTTACCTGAACCATATCACTGAGTAAATCAACATTCTTGAATACCGTCAACCAAAATTCAGGAATTCCTTTAGGATCATCTTTTTCTTGATCTTTTTTCTCTTCTTCAAGCTTGGCCTTCTCTTTCATTTCCTCCTTGTTAAAATTAGTAAGTTACTCTTTCTAATATTTGAGTGCTGAATACCTATCAAATTTATTGTTATACAGGCAGCCATAAAGATTAGGTGAGCATCAATTATTTTACTTATTTAAAATATTTATATACTGTTTTCCATTAATTAAGAGAAATCTTAAACCGATTTACAAAATGAATTTACATACTGCACAATGAGCTACAATGTCTTTACTTTTAGGTTACGTGTTTTCCTGCTACTGTTGAGAAGTACTCAGAAATTTTCCATCCCAGCTAAGATGAAAAAGCTCAGACCTCAGATCTCCCTTTCCTGCATTTGCAGTAACTTTCATAATTTCTATTTTTATATGGCTGAAAACAATAAAAAAGACTGTCTGACAGGAGGTCCCTTATCACTATGTATCACATCTGGAGCTACTTAATCCAAAACTATTTTAGCCACCAGATTTTATCCCCAATTGGTTTTAACACCAGCCCAGAAGTTAATGTGAATCATTTCTCTCCTGTTGGTTTCAATGGGAGGGAATTTGAACAAGGATGTAACAGCAACAGTATGGAAAGAAGCAGAAATCCATTTCTCCATCCCTTCTGCTTCATAATGCAAACACAAAAGGGCTTTAGAGTACATTTGTTAGAGATCCCACGAAACCAGACAGGACTGCCCTTTAATTCTACTTCCAGCTTTTTTAAAAAAGTAACATATAAGGTACTCACTGAAATTTCTTCTTCAACATCTGTTTTCCACTCACATTCTTCTTCAGTAGGTTCATAAACAGCGTTGATGATTTCACTCCTCTGGAAGATCAAACCATTGTTTTTTCAGGTTACCATGTTACTATGCCCCAATACCTTTTACAAGGAAGCAAAACACAATTCCTTTTGGAAATAAAAACTGCAAAATTAGAAAACCTACAGGAATTTTAGGTACTACCGCTTTCAAAATTAAATAGTAAAAGCTTGATTACTTTGTAATTAATTACCTTGTCAAATAAGGGTTGATAAAGAGTAGCATATTTTCTTTCCAATTCATGAACTTCTTCATAGAACTTTGCTTCTATCTGCGCACATTTAACTTGAAGATTCTTGAGTGCATTTACTCGTCTCTTAACTACTTTAGGCAAGCTGTGGGGAATGGAAATATATTGCATGATTACACTAACAATAATTCATTCATGCCTTTTTAAAAATAAAAATGTCAATAAATATGTTGGTTGAAATGTAGTGTATAATATAGCAAATGCAAAAATAGACGTGTTGACCTGTCTATAGAAAAATATTATACTGACATACCATTCTTTACTACAGTTTCAGGAAAAAAGTTAGAAACTTAGCCTCTTTTTATTCATTGTAGGATTTGAAAAATCAAGATTAAATAGTGATCTATGATCTTTAAACAATGTTATTAAATGCAGTTTAACTGAAAAAGGAAATTAGTGTATTGGTGTGTTCTAACATAATTTGGCCGAATATTGAACTATTAGCAGGTTTAGAAAACTCTGACTGAATAAAGCTTAATTTTTAGAATCAACTCAATAGATGCCAAAGTCGAAGTGCTTTTGGCAATGGAAGAGCACAGAAAAGTTCCATAATATTCTGGGCTAGCAGTTCAATACAGCGGTACCTCGGGATATGAACGCCTCTACTAACGAACTTTTCGGGTTACGACCAGCTCCGGCCGCAAAAATTTACCTTGATGTGCGAACTCCGCCTTGGGGTACGGTCATTTTTCCGCCCTGACATGTGGTCCGCAGCCATTTTCCCGCCCCGACACGTGGTCCGCGGCCATTTTCCCGCCCTGCCACGCAGCGCCCGGCCGTTTTCCCGCCCTGCCACGCAGCGCCCGGCCGTTTTCCCACCCCTGACGTGTGGTCCT